CGGTTCAAGCGTTTTGCATATGCTTCGTTAAATATGAAGCAGTTTTACTTAAGATGCCTTCAAAGTAGATACCAATGATGATCATAACCAATATCCATTACATATGTGGACTGATATCTAAAAGTTTTTTATTCTTATTCTTTTTACTAATATTTAGATATAAAAATTGAATAAAACGTCAACAATAAAAATAGCTAGCTAGTTTAACCGATTATCTAAGTCCATAGATATTGCTATTATTTAATACGGCTGTTAACACGTTCTCCCACAAGCGGAAACGATGAGACCTGTTTTCCGGGTTTGGTCAGGTGATGTTCGACATATACCCTACTGATCTGCTATTTAAGCTGCTGCTTCTTCTTTGACTACATTTTTGAACGCTACTCCTAGAGTTTTCAAGCTACAACCACCAAACTCAGCCCAGATCTTCAGACTGTTCTGACTCTGGTTGCTTTATCTGTCTGTCTATCTGTCTATCTATGTCTGTCTGTCTATCTGTCTCTGTCTGTCTATCTGTCTCTATCTGTCTATCTGTCTGTCTGTCTATCTATCTGTATCTGTCTGTCTGTCTGTCTATCTAGCTATCTATCTATCTATCTATCTATCTATCTGTCTGTCTGTCTGTCTACCTCTCTATCTGTCTGTCTACCTCTCTATCTGTCTGTCTACCTCTCTATCTGTCTGTCTACCTCTCTATCTGTCTGTCTACCTCTCTATCTATCTGTCTGTCTATCTGTCTGTCTGTCTGTCTATCTATCTATCGGTCTGTCTACCTCTCTATCTATCTATCTATCTGTCTGTCTGTCTGTCTACCTCTCTATCTGTCTGTCTGTCTGTCTGTCTACCTCTCTATCTATCTATCTATCTGTCTGTCTGTCTGTCTACCTCTATCTATCTATCTATCTGTCTGTCTGTCTGTCTGTCTACCTCTCTATCTGTCTGTCTGTCTACCTCTCTATCTATCTGTCTGTCTCTGTCTGTCTGTCTATCTGTCTATCTGTCTACCTCTCTATCTGTCTGTCTGTCTACCTCTCTATCTATCTGTCTGTCTCTGTCTGTCTGTCTATCTGTCTATCTGTCTACCTCTCTATCTGTCTGTCTGTCTACCTCTCTATCTATCTGTCTGTCTCTGTCTGTCTGTCTATCTGTCTATCTGTCTACCTCTCTATCTGTCTGTCTGTCTACCTCTCTATCTATCTGTCTGTCTCTGTCTGTCTGTCTATCTGTCTATCTGTCTACCTCTCTATCTGTCTGTCTGTCTACCTCTCTATCTATCTGTCTGTCTCTGTCTGTCTGTCTATCTGTCTATCTGTCTACCTCTCTATCTGTCTGTCTGTCTACCTCTCTATCTATCTGTCTGTCTCTGTCTGTCTGTCTATCTGTCTATCTGTCTACCTCTCTATCTGTCTGTCTGTCTACCTCTCTATCTATCTGTCTGTCTCTGTCTGTCTGTCTATCTGTCTATCTGTCTACCTCTCTATCTGTCTGTCTGTCTACCTCTCTATCTATCTGTCTGTCTCTGTCTGTCTGTCTATCTGTCTATCTGTCTACCTCTCTATCTGTCTGTCTGTCTACCTCTCTATCTATCTGTCTGTCTATCTGTCTGTCTGTCTACCTCTCTATCTGTCTGTCTGTCTGTCTACCTCTCTATCTACTGTCTGTCTGTCTGTCTGTCTGTCTGTCTGTCTGTCTGTCTGTCTGTCTATCTCAGTAGCCAAGCCTAGCAACTAGCCTAAGACTTGCCATCAATGTACTAATTCATGTTAACAACATGCTAATAATCATGCTAGCAATGTGTTAAATCATGCTAACAATGTGTTAGTCACATGCTAATCATGCTAGAAAAATGCTAGCAACATGCTAATCATGTTAGAAACATGCTAACTACATGTTAATCATGCTAACAACATGCTAATCATGCTAGAATTTTTTTAGCAGCATGTTAATCACGTTAGAAACATGCTAGCAACATGGTAGTAACAGGCTAAAAATGCTAAAAATATGTTAGCAAAATGTTAATCATGTTAGAAACATGCTAGCAACATGTTAGTCATGCTAGCAACATGATAATCACGTCAGAAACATGCTATCAAAATGTTAACAAAATACTACTCATGTTAGCAACATGCTGGTAACTGGCTAATCATGCAAAAAACATGTCAACAACATGTTAATCATGTTAGAAACATGATAAACAACATGAGACTACATGCTAATCATGTTAGATACATGCTAGCAACATGTTAACAACACGATAATCATACTAGCAACAGGCTAGTAACATGCTAACAACATGCTAATCATGCTAGTAACATGCTAACAACATGCTAATCATGTTAGAAACATGCTATCAACACTTATCTAATCTATCTAAATTTTTAAATTTCAAGCTTTTACAACTGCTTTAATCTTCAGGCTAGGCTTTCTCAGGCCACCCTAAAGTTTGTCTTGACAAACTTTTTTATCTAGTTGAATTCTAAAATACAAAACATTCCAGTAGGTTCTCAAGACATTTAACATACAACATAAACAAGGATACAATAGCAACTACAAAAAAATGTATTTTAGTCACTCGTTGAAACTGTATAGATTTAAAATGAATGTCAAGCGGTTGTGAGGTGTGACGTCACAGGTGCGCGCGCACCTCTCTAGTTCTCATCGCGCGCCTGCACGACCACACGTGACGTCAGACAGCAGCATGGCGGCCAAGGTGACTCCGGCGACACCGCGCTTGACTGAAAATCTTTGTTTTCGTTTTTGTAGCCGTCGACTTTTAATTACAGTTGCTGATTATTAACGGGAGAAGGGCTAATAGATCAGTAAATGGGATGAGCAGAGACAGCGATGAATGTTTTTAACGGACCGGCGCGAGCATCACTGAGCTTATCGCTGCGCTCGCGCTGAGACTTTGACTGAATTTAGTGTCTGTGAGGATCATAAAGCCATAAAAAATATCAGAGTTGTGTGTTAAACAGCTTTAATCGGCTGTTTTGCAGCCTTTTTGTGTTGTTAGAGATGAAGGTTTGTTTGTAAAGTGTAGTCAGACGTGTGAGGATCATGCACTGTGGGCGAAATCGGGCTCATTTTATTCTGCAGGGACTTGGCACTTCATGTGTGTTTGTGTTGAGTGATTAGTGACTGGTTATTTTGTGTGCTGTAAAAATTAAGTTACATTCTGTGTCAGACAGTCCCAATAATGCTGAATGTGCTCTCAAAGATCATTTGATATGTACATCAGCATTTGGGAATAAATGCAATTTTGAACATTAGAAAAGGTATTCGTTCATTAAAACCTTTTCTGAGAAACATTTAATAGATGCAGATAGTTCTGTAAAACATGCAATATATTTCGCTAAATGTGGTGGATTTGTGGCTATAATTATAGATCGTAGCTCTTTATTTCGTCTTTATAGTGTAATTTTTACCTTACTGTTATTCTGTGCTGTTGTCATTCTGCAGGTGCAGTTAACCAAAAGGGCCGACCCTAATGAGCTGAAGGTCATCTTTCAAAAGGTAAGTTTAAACAGCAGAAACCCTTGATTTGAAAGCCTAATCCTTTACACTGCAGTCAATTCCAATGAGAAACTGCAACCTTAGAAGCCACCGTAGATAGTGTCATTGCCTGTCATTAAATCTTTATTTCCTTAGTGACGCTGCAGTTTTAATTGTCACTCTGTTGTCTCCTTTTTTCCAAAGCAGCTCAAAGAGACTGGCATGCTCGAGAAAGTCTAGACACTTGTGTGCGTGTTTGTGGGAAAACAGTTTATTGTGTGTATGCTTCATTTTCTAGCACGAATAGGGAAATACTAATCTATGTCCCTCATTAACTGTCAGCCAGGGCTTTTTAATTGTTGTAGTGATTTGTGATCACGTCCGCCTTTGAGATTCTCTGTCAGCTGAGAGAAGCTGTTTCTTGCGCCGCTTTGGTGTCTGGTAACACAGAGACTTGCGTGCGATGTGGCTCTATTAATAGGACTCAAGCCTGTGAGATGGATGTTTGGAGGAAGACATGAATGTCAGGGCAATAGATGGATGAGTGAAGAATGTCTCAATAAGGTCAGGGGGCATCTCGCTTTAGTTTTTTGATCAGCTGCTGCTGATCAAAAAATACACAACTCACATGGCACATGAATATTGTCACCTTTTCCCATTTGTTCAGCTATGCAGATGTTGGTATTTGGTAAATACAATTTCAGCTTGCATGTTGCCAACACAGTTGTTTGGAAGAAGCCGGTGTTATTTTACACAACTGACTACAGTTTTGTTTCTTAACTGTTGTCATGCATAACAATATATGACATTGATTTTCAGGTTCTTCTCTACTTTTACACAAATCATACTAGGTGCCCTACACATTAGACAAATACATCTGCACGTTTAATCATGCTTTACATCATGCTCAGATGCTGTAATTATGTTTTTGTTGTTTTCCCTCAGTATGCCAGTGTGGTGGATAAGGATGGAGAGCGGTACATGACACCCAGTGATTTCGTGCAGAAGTATTTGGGCCTCCACACACAGCTCCACTATAACCCTAAAACTGTGCAGCTTCTCGCCGGTGTGGCAGATACTACAAAAGATGGGTGAGAAGAACATAATATTTCCCATCTGTGTAATCGTTCTGTATTCTAGTTCTTGATGGTTTGATATGAAGCCTAAACTTCAGCTGAAATCAAGAAATGTACCCAATTTCATTAGATTTTACATTATTTTTTGCAGTAGCAGCCAGATGATTATGGCAAAATTTAGAAAATTCTGTATTGCACATACACTACTTCTCAAACGTTTGGAGTCGGTACGATTTTTTTGAGTGTTTTTATTGAAGACTGTTTATTTGTTTAGAAATACAGTAAAAAAGAAAAATTGTGAAATGGTATTTAAAATAACGAAAATATTATTACAATAAAAAACTTTCTATTTGAATATATTTTAAAATGTAATTTATTGCTATGATGCAAAGCTGAATTTTTAGCATCATTACTCGTCAGTCTTCAGTGTCAGAATCAGAAGAGCTTTATTACCTTTTTTAAAGAATATCTCTTTGGGTTTGAGACTTTAGTCTTTGCAACTTTAGGGATCTCATCTGTGCACGAACAGCTTGTAACACTCCAAAGAGAAAGGAAAACTTGAAATCGCATCATATGACCCCTTTAAATGGTGGTGTATGTAATTGGAAGTGTGTGTGAGAGAGATTGCAGAATGACCACAAGTTTTGTATTTGTAATGTTTCTTCTGTTTGTTTTTTTTCTATTCAGGCTGATCTCATTTCAGGAGTTTCTGGCCTTTGAGTCAGTGCTGTGTGTGCCTGATGCCCTCTTCATCGTGGCCTTCCAGCTGTTTGACAAGACAGGAACTGGATGTGTGTCCTTCGGTGAGAACAGAATTGACTGTATATATAAATGTTCAGTCTTATTTAAAGTGGACTTTAAAGAGGAGATTTCTGTGTACACTGTTCCAATTCATTCATCTTTTCATTTAATGCTGCCCACAGTATGCAGACCACAAGGCAGCTTGCAGTGTTTTTGAACTGACCCATAGTGTTTTATTATTATAGAGTCAGCTGATCGTAATGTAGTTATGCTAAACAAACAAGCAGCTTAACCTTGAACACAGAGACATTCATTCACTCACGTGTTCAGAGAACCTTTAAAACACTGTCAGTAATGTTGCAACGCCTGTTATGGTCTGCAGGAGTTTAAATCTGACCCTATCCGTGTGTTAACAGAGAACGTGCGTGATATCTTCAGCCAGACCACAGTACACCACCACATCCCCTTCAACTGGAACTGCGAGTTCATCCACTTGCATTTCGGCAATGACAGAAAAAAAAGTCTCAGCGACAGGAGCTACCAGTGCAGAAGAAAGTACAGACATAGTGCAGACATACATGAGAAAAACATAAATATGTAAAATGTCACGTGAGCCTTCAGAAATCATTCTAATATGCTGATTTGCTGCTCAAGAGCAATTATTATTAATGTTAAAAAATGCTATTTATTGTTGTGGAAACATGATTTTTTTTTCAGCATTCTTAGATAAAAGTTAAAAAGGACAGCATTTATTTGAATCTTTTGTGACATTATAAATGTATTTACAGTCACTTCTGTCATTTCTGCCTTGATCTTACGCAACCTTGCTGAACAGAAGTGTTAATTTCTTTCAAGAAGTCTTACTTACCCCAAACTTTTGGTATTAAAGGGGTCATATGATGTTGCTAAAAAGAACATTATTTTGTGTATTTGGTGTAATGAAATGTGTTTATGCGGTTTAAGGTTCAAAAAACACATTATTTTCCA